TTTTCCTATTAATATTTATAATAATATTTGGATATATATTTACCCATTAATTATATTGTTTATCGCCTCTAACTTGGTTTTGTAAAGTGCTCCAAAATGGCGGCAAAAGCCTCCAAAAAGCTCTTATTAATTTTTATCAGGAAGAGTATTTATAAGATTTTAGATATAAGATTTTAGAATACTTAATGGGAATGAACCTGGAACCTGTAACCTGGAACCTGGAACCTGTGCCAAAATAAAGACAGACTGTGACTCGCTGAAAATCGCACAGGGTGTCGACACTTCAATGAAGTACTGACACCTTCACTGCATAGTGGACCGAGATTCGTGTCGGAGATTTTGGACCTAAATGCAATTTTGGTGCTTCTTTGGAAAACTGTTCTGGTCTTTCAACTTTAATCAATTGATACTTTGATTCTCATATTTTTGATTTCTTCAGTTTGGTCCTAAAAATTACAATTTTTAATTTTTTTATTTTCTTTTTATTAACTACTTTGATTTATATTTTTAAGACTCGCACAGGGTGTTGACACTTCAATGGAAGTACGGACACCTTCACTGCATAGTGGACGCAGAGTTCGTGTCGGAGGTTTTGGACCAAAATGCAATTTCGGATTTTTGGTGCTTCTTTGGAAAACTGTTTTGGTCTTCCATCTTTCATCAATTGATACTTTGATTCTCATATTTTTTATTTCTTCAGTTTGGTCCTAAAAATTACAATTTTTAATTTTTTTTATTTTCTTTTTATTAACTACTTTGATTTATATTTTTAAGACTATGTTGTTAAACCAAAATTACGAGAGAGATCGATAATGGTAAATTTTTTTATGTTAAAATATAATTTTATTAATTTAAATTATTTTAAATTTTATTTATATTAATTTGAAAGATTTATAATTATTGCATGCTTTAGTTTTATATAATTAATGTTTCAGTGAGATGAAAGGACATTATCAACATCACAGACTTAGCTCACTTTCACCTCTTTGATCAATATCTATATTATCTTTCCTCAACTTTGTTTTTACCTTATCACTTAACATGCACAGTTAATGTGGTAAAACAAAGCTGAGAATGAGTTTTAGAGAGAGAAAACCAGAGAGAAACCCAAATCCGTTCACCCCATACCCCCCGGTTGGTCTCAGGCCACCGGGAAGACCCCAAACCAAAACCGAGCGACCACCGGTGAGAGCGGGTCAGACCCAAAAACCACAACCGTTTCATTACCCATCGAGGAGTAGGTTGCAGGGGCTCGAGAGGACAGATCGAGAGGGCAGATTCAGAGGATTGCGACGTCCATCTTTCGGCTATGGGAAGGGTGTTCTGGAGAGAGCTACTCCATTCTTCTTCACAAACTTCCCAGAAGAGTGGGAGATGGG